GATATCTTTTTTATCCTCGTTAATAGCAACATCTGTTCCCCTCCACTTTCCATAATAAACAGTTCCAAATGTGCCAGATCCTAACTCTTTCAATTCTTCAAGATCTTCATTCTTTACGATCTGCTCATTGGCAATACAGCATTAAGTTAAATTACTTGAAAGTTAAATTAATAATGAAAGAAAAATTAAAGGGTTAATTAGAAGAGTAAGTAGAACTATAAAACAGAAGCCATTGTCAGATAATAACAAGTTGTTTCCTGCATATCTGAAATTTTTTTTCAGGCCTGAGCTACAGAAACACAAGACTGGAAGCCAACATTAATGTATGTATAGCATTAACATTCCGTACAATCCCTTGATGACCATAAAAATAACATTAACAAAATGTAAATAAACCAGAAACTGCAAATATAAGCCAACAAAAAAAAGGCAGATCCAAGGAACCTAGACCAGAAAAGAAAAAAAATGACAGCTAAAGATTGCCCAATATTACCAAAAGAGAATGCTAGTATATTTAGCAAATAAAGAACAGCAACTCCAGAAGGAAACACAGGGATAAGTTAAATTACCAAGCGTATAAGGAAACAAAATCCAGTGAGTCAACATTCTACAAAATAGATAAACTTTTGTCACGAACAGAAGGTTTTGTAGCTGTCGTTATTAGGAAAGAAAAAATAATTGAGAAAAGAAAACTGTAAGAGTCTCAATGATTGGGTTTGAAGAAATTATAAAACCCCAAAAGCCATTTCATTCTGTAAAACTCTTAAGGAGGACATATTTAACATGGTATGGACATTGAAGCAAATCTTCTTGCTCTTGCAACCTGACTAATGCTTTTGCTACTATGACTACATTTGGTCATTTAGGCATTCATTCAAACAGTTTCCAAGCAAAAAACAAGTATAAGTTCATGGAAATTGTCTAGCAAAAATCCATGTTTCTCATTTTCTTAGAAGTAAACAAAAATAACAAAGAAACACATCATTGAAATCAATCACAACATCTGCTCTATGAGATAACCATGGAACAACAACGAAAAGAAAAACGAAATTAAAAGAACACAGCTTTTGAAAGAAACCCATGTCTAAAACAACATTGTTTCAACAAAATTAACCATTAAAGAGCAGAGTTTGCAAGCATTTTTGTGACAAGTATCCAGCATAATGCATACCCACCAAATCTGACAGGCCTCTGAAGATTAAGGAAAAAATATCAGATGAACCAATCCACAGGCACAGCCTCGAACTCTTCCACGGCCACCATTGCTTTCTATCTCTCTCTCTAAATCTCCACATCTCTGAGTTTACTTTGTTCAATTCCCTACTAATAATCCTAGATCCTCCCTCCCCATAAACGACATAATTCTTAAAAAAGACAAATGGCAGAAAGGATAACTTCCAAGGGCGCCTGACGAGCCTTCGAGAGCTCGCAAAAGCAGCGACCATTTTGGAATAAAAACAAGAAAAACCCAAAAACTCAAAATCTCAACTTGTAACGAAATTATATAATAGAATGAGAAAAACAAGTGAAAAGAATTACCTGTTAACAGGCGGAATCAGAAAAAGGGAGATGCAAAATCGGAGAAAGGGAAAAAAGATGGAGCAATCGACAGATGGAGAAGATGGATAGAGAGGTGCAATCGGCAGATGAGGATGCCGGAAAAGTCAAGCTCGGGATCTGATGAGAAGTGCGACAGATGGAAGATGGGTAGAGAGGAGCAATCGGAAGGCAGAGTAGGGAGGAGCAATCGGGAGGTAGAGGGAGGTGCAAAATTAGGTATCTTTAACAGTATTATAGTGGTTTAATAGTAAATTTATTCAAGTATAAGGGTAAAATAAATATAATGAGTAAGTTTCATTAAAAAGAAGCCAGAAACACACGCAAAAATTTGGATTTCTTTTTTAACAATGGGAAAAATTTTCGGAGAAAAGAGAAAAGGGATTTGAGATTAGAATTTGGGTCTTAGTAGTCTTAAATACGTTTTTAAAAAAGGGTTAGTAGGTCGCCAAGTACTAAACGCAAAAATTTGGATTTCTTATTTCTCAAAACTTTCAGAGGTAAGAGTCTTTGGTGGAATTGGAATTTTTGAACTTAAAAAGCACTTTTCACCAACTATACCTAATAGGTACTTAATTTGAAACCTAACAGATTTCAAGTTTCAAAAGTCATCAATTCAATCCACATCATAAGAGAACCACTTGACAAAGAAAGTGAAGAGATTATTAGGGTCTCTGCAACTACAAGAAACCCAACACCAAAGTCCCCAATTTCAAAAATAAACACTGATATGTGATATCCCCAAAGTCTCACTCTTTTTGTCTTCCTCAACCTTGTTGCTGATCACAACACTCTTTCCTCTGCTTCAACATCTTCTATGCTCTCCAATTTTAATTAGCTACAACATGCCATAACCCAATTTTGACTAGGATGATGTTAATGCTTTCTTCAAATTTTTTACTTTGAGCGATTTTAATCTTTTGGACTCAAGTGACAAGGGAAATGTCTAAGAGGCTAATTTGTAAGATGTATTGAAGATAAGGGACTAAAAAATAAAAAGAAGAAGAAGAAAGGTAAATAGCGTGGATCTACTTCCAAATTTGACAATTTATTGAAGAAGATTTTGTGAACACTTGTAAGGAATGCTTACGAGAGAAGATCGGTGGGGTTTTCTTTATTTACTAAATTGGATTACTTGATGAAGGGGAGAAGGGTTTAAATTTATCCCTATATATATATATGTGTGTGTGTGTGAGAGAGAGAATTTATTGAAGAAGATTTTGTGAACACTTGTAAGGAATGCTTACGAGGGAATATCGGTGGGGTTTTCTTTATTTACTAAATTGGATTACTTGATGAAGGGGAGAAGGGTTTAAATTTGTCCCTATATATATATATATGTGTGTGTGTGAGAGAGAGAGAGAGAGAGAGAGAATTTATTGAAGAAGATTTTGTGAACACTTGTAAGGAATGCTTACGAGAGAAGATCGGTGGGGTTTTCTTTATTTACTAAATTGGATTACTTGGTGAAGGGGAGAAGGGTTTAAATTTGTCCCTATATATATATATATATATATGTGTGTGTAAAGAACAAAGAGTAAAGGGAGGAGGCTGAGAGCGAAAAGAAAAGCTTGTATTGGATTTTTTTAAAATAAAATTCGCTCCCTTCTTGCAGGTTTGTCTCCATGAATTTTTTTTTAAATAATTTCTTTCTTTTATTCATTTGCCTAAGCATCTTGGTTCTCTTGGTTTTCTGTTTTTTTTTTTTTTTTGTGAATTTATTTTATTTGTTCTTAGTCTTAAACATTTCCGTTCAGTCCTAGTTCCAATCATATTATCAAACCTATTTGTTTATTCCCTATATATCCTCTCTGTTTTTTCATCTCAAGTATTTGAGGCTGCTTATTAATTGTTTAATAATAGTTAACATAATGTTAGGCCAAAATTTAAAAAAAAAAAAAGAGTAAAATATTCTAATAAAAATAGTTTTTTTATTGATTAAAGTACTATATTTCTTCTTACTCTCATTTAGTAAAGTACAATACTTTCATCTTATTTTATTTAATTAAAATATCTTAAAATTAGAATATGTGGTAACTAAAGTTCACATAAAAGTTGTAAGTGCCTAACCCCTAACACCTACCCTAATCACCTAATTTTAGTTAAATTTCTATGCAGACCATATGGATGATCTATCTCACCTCATTTGGGTAGATAGTGACTCCATTTTTAGCACGTCAACACAACACCAGATCTGTGAATCCTTGGTTTGACTGGGAACAATTGACCTATCTCATATCTTTTATTATTGAAGAGAGAAAATGAGAGAGAGGACGAAAAGGATATGTAGGAGAAAAATAAAGAGGGGAAGGAGCTTAACAGCAGTGAGAAGGAAAGAGAAGGTCAATGGACAATGATTAGATCTGGGCAAGATCGAACAAGGAGAAGGGAGTGGTGTTCTGGGGCCAGGCCGAGGGTGAGAAGGACTGACGGAGAGAAGGAGATAACTGAGATAAGGAGTAGAAGGGAGATGATCTAATTGAGAAATTCGATCAACAAAGAGGAAGAGAGAAGGGATTTAGGGAAAGCAGATGGGATAAATGGATAATATCATTAGTTTAGCAAAATTAATATTTTTAATAAATGTGATTAAATTTCAACTATTAAAAATAAAGAAGATAATGGTTAGATGTTGAGATTTTGTATAAGT